TAGTCCATCGACCCACTTTTCCCGTTTTCCTTTAGCACGCATTTTGCCTATTACGCCTGGGCAACTTGTGAAGGGTTTTTCAAAGTTGTATAATTTCACGATTTTTTTGTCTTCTAGTGCATTTAGGACCTTGTCGTAGTGATCCAATAGTTGAGACAGACAGGAGCGACCTGTTCTAAACTCATGTTGCCCTGGGTTGTGTAACTGATGGGTTTCTAGATGGTGGTGATCTTGCTTCTTAGGACCCTTTCAAAGATTTTTATATGGGATGTTAGTGCTATTGGTCTGTAGTTCTTTGCTGTTGCTTTACTGCCCCCTTTGTGGTGTGGGGCTATGTCTGTTGTTTTTAGTAACTGTGGGACGACCCCCGTGTCCATGCTCCCTCTCCATAGGATGGAAAAGGCTCGTGATAGGGGCTTCTTGCAGTTCTTGATGAACACAGAGTTCCATGAGTCTGGCCCTGGGGCAGAGTGCATGGGCATGTCATTGGTGTGTGGTTATGTTGCATATGTAGTGTTGTGTTGCATGTGTGTGTTTATGCTGCATATGTTGAGTGGTTGTATTGCAGGTGTAGTGTGGTTGTTTTGCAGGCGTGTGTTTGTGTTGCATATGTAAGGTGGTTGTGCTGCAGATGTAACTTGATAGTATTGTATTTATAGTGTGGTTTTATTGCAGGTATTGTGTGGCTGTGTTGTAGGGTAGTGAGGTGCATAGTAGTGATGTCAAGTGTATAGTAGTGATGTTAAGTGCATAGTAGGGATGTCAAATGCATAGTAGTGATGTCAAGTGCCTAGTAGGAATGTCAAGTGCATAGTAGTGATGTCAAGTGCAAAGTAGTGATGTCAAGTGCATAGTAGTGATGTCAAGTGCTAGTAATGATATCAAGCGCACATCAGTGATGTCAAGTGCATAGTAGTTATATCAAGTGCATAGTTCAAATTCAATTCAAATTCAAAGTTTATTCTCTATAAGGATTACAATGCTGAGTTTACAGAAATTTGGTTATTGTTTGGTTTACATGTAGTAAAATTGTGATTACAGAGTGTACCACTAGAATGCTTAGCATGGCTAGGCATTTCGGGCATACTTAGTTTTATTCTTAACTGTAAAATATTACAAATTATGAGGTAAGTTGGTATTATGGCTAAGTGACTAAATACTATTTGTGAGTTTAGCAATGTGAATGCTTTTGTTTTGGCACAGTACATATTTCAGTATTGAAGTATCACAGGATTCATTATTTTAAGACTGAGATTAATATTTCTGTTTATGGTCAAATGAGTGAGTGAGTGTAAGTGTGAAAACCCCCAGGTGGTATTCGTGTAGTTAGTTGACGGGGTGTATCAGGGAGATAAGATGTTTTCTAATGGTAGTTTTGAAGGTGATGAATGTGTCTGCATGTTTTAGAGTTCTCAGTAGGGGATTCCAGATTTTAGGGCCTTTGACATACATTGAATTTTTGTAAAGGTTTAGTCGGACACGGGAATGTCGTAGAGATGTTTGTGTCTGGTGTTATGCCTGTGGGGTTTTGTCACAACTATCAAGAAAGTGTTTTAGGTCAAGGTTGATATTAGAGTTTAAGGCCCTGTAGATATAGATTGCACAGTAAATAAGTGTGGATGTACTGAACTGGGAGTAAGTTTAGATCTATGAAGAGTGGGGGGGGGTGTTGCCAGGGATGGGATTTAGTGATTATTCTTACTGCAGCTTTTTGTTGGGTTATTATTGGCTTTGGTGTGTTGCTGCAGTTGATCCCCCAAACACAAATAGCATAGGTGAGGTATGGATAAATAAGTGAGTGGTATAGTGTGAGAAGGGCATTTTGCGGCACGTAGTATCGTATCTTGGAGAGGATCCCAACCGTTTTGGATACTTTTTTGGCTATATCTGGATATGGGTGCTGAAATTCAGGTTGTTGTCAAGGTATAGCCTAGGAATTTTCCCCCATTATTTCTGGTAATTAGAGTGTTGTCAATCTTAATGTTAATTTGTGCATCTCCTGCTCTGCTACCAAACATAATATAGTAGGTTTTGTCAGTGTTTTAAGCGTAAGTTTATTGGCTGTCATCCAAGTCGATATTTTAATCAGCTCCTCATTCACAATGGTGTTGAGGGTGGCAAGATTAGGGTGAGAGATGACATAAGTCGTGTCATCAGCAAAGAGAATGGGTTTCAGGTGTTGGGATACGATTGGAAGGTCATTGATGTATATGAGGAAGAGCAGGGGACCAAGGACACTTCCCTGCGGAACTCCAGTATCAAGTGGCTGTGTTGCTGATGCTGTGTCTTTAATGGTGACGTACTGATACCTATTAGTAATGTAGTAGTGGTGTCAAGTGCATAGTAGTGATGTCAAGTGCATAGTAGTGATGTCAAGTGCATAGTAGTGATGTCAAGTGCATAGTAGTGATGTCAAGTGCATAGTAGTGGTGTCAGGTGCATAGTAGTGATGTCAAGTGCATAGTAGTGATGTCAAGTGCATAGTAGTGATATCAAGTACATAGTAGTGATATTAAGTAAGATAAGATTTCGTTCGGATTTTTAACCCCGGAGAGTTAGCCACCCAGGATAACCCAAGAAAGTCAGTGCGTCATCGAGGACTGTCTAACTTATTTCCATTGGGGTCCTTAATCTTGTCCTCCAGAATGCGACCCACACCAGTCGACTAACACCCAGGTACCTATTTGCTGCTAGGTGAACAGGACAATAGGTGTAAGGAAACGTGTCGAAATGTTTCCACCCGCCGGGAATCGAACCCGGGCCCTCCGTGTGTGAAGCGGGAGCTTTAGCCACCAGGCCACCGGGCCACGTACATAGTAGTGATGTGAGGTGTATTGTAGTGATGTGAGGTGCATAGTAGTAATGTGTGGTACATAGTAGTTTACCTGGAGAGAGTTCCGGGGGTCAACACCCCCGCGGCCCGGTCTGTGACCAGGCCTCCTGGTGGATCAGAGCCTGATAAACCAGGCTGTTACTGTTGGTTGCACGCAATCCAACATACGAGCCACAGCCCGGCTGGTCAGGTAGTGATGTGATATACATGGTAGTGATGTAACATGCATGGTAGTGATGTGAGTTTCACAATAGTGATGTAAGGTGCATAGCAGTAATGTGAGATACATGAAGCCCTTTCTGTAGCTTCATTCTTCAGGAACCTTTTAGTTCTGTTCCTGAACTGGTTAATGCTGAGGCTGGCTACTCATATAGAGTGAGATGCCAGGCTCTGCCGGGGTTTAGGCCTGGGTGTCCACCTGATCTAACTTGGAAGCTTCATGTACCCATTTTTCTCTAAGAAGGAAAGTGTTTAATTTCTAATTCTCACCCATATTTGGGCAAGGACCCCAATGTAAATAAGTAATTTATACGTTACTATGTATGATAACGTATTGATGTCTACCTGTATCTAAATAAACTTGCTTGCTGCTGAGGGTCTGGGTTCGATTTCCGACAAGGGTGAAAACGACACAAGTGCAACTAATGTGACATTTTATAACGTTTCGCTCTCCAGGAGCTTTGTCAAGTCGTTACAAACAGTACATGGACACAGAGGGTATATAGGGTATATGTAGTATTAACAGGAGAGACTATGTGGTGGCACATAGTCTCTCCTGTTAATACTACACAAGCACATTACAGAGAAAGAACATTGAAACAGGCCTTCTCTATCCAGCCTCCAATAGAAATATTTGTCTAACCAATTTTTGTTTCCCAAGTAATAGCTTTTATATCCTTTACTCATGTGCAAGTTAATTGTTCTAACATATTGTATTACTACTACTACTACTACTACCGCTAGTATTACACCTCACTCTGAGCCTATATATACCCTCTGTGTCAATGTACTGTTCGTAACGGCTTGACAAAGCTCCTGGAGAGCGAAACGTTATAAAATGTCACATTAGTTGTACATGTATCCTTTTACTTTACATATTGTCGGTAATTCTACCAACTTTATTACAAGGGTGAAAACATTGGGCGTATTTCCTTACACCTGTTGTCCATGTTCACCCATCAGTAAAATGGGTACCTGGGTGTTAGTCGACTGGTGTGGGTCGCATTCTGGGACAAAATTGACCTAATTTACCCGAAATGCTCCGCATAACAAAGGGCTTTCTATGTAGTAGTATGTCATTGATGTCATCTAGGCCTATATACTTTGGGGCCCAGTCCGTGGGCCCAATTTGTACCTCTGTAATTTTTGACTGCCGCCCACATAATGGGTATGGGGTGCATAATAAACATATTAAACTAAACTAAAAGTACCTTGTACATGTACTTACAGAAATAAAGATATTATTGTTATTATTATTATTACTGTTATATTTGCTTAAACATTTTTCCCGGCCCCCGGGAGGAAGGGGTTACTAAGGCTTCGCTTTGGTGGTCCTTACTAACCCCAACACCTACTTGAGTACCCAAACTCGAAAAGGTTAACCACGTTCTGCGCCAGCCTTCTTCGGGTGTGGACGTCTCTCTCGCTTGAGTATCAGTGGCAAATTACCCCCGTTCTCTCTGGGACGCTTGTTCTCGTCTATTTTGCCCGCCGGGCACTCGACAGGAGGGGCACCTGTTCCTCGGCTTACTTTAACCAACTCTATTTTTTCCGCTCTGCGGAAAATTCTTTATCGGTCTTTAATGGGAAGCCGGTCATTGAACTTAGGTGGGGTGTGGGCGTCCCTCTGTGCTGGGGCTTGGCAAGGTGGTCCACCAGATCTAATTGAAAACTTCAAGTTTCTATCTATTTCCAAAGGAAGTTTTGTTCGTTTTCTCTCATCGCTCAGCCTTCGAGAAGTCGGGTTCGAAACAGCTTAAAAAAAAACATACCACGGGTGGGAATAGAACCCGCGATCAGAGAGTCTCAAAACTCTCTGATCGCGGGTTCTAGCCCCACCCGTGGTATGGTTTGTTTGCAATCGTGTTATTACGATTTCGTGAGTCGATACAGCTTATGCTGTCAGTGGCCCTGATAAACCCAACAACAACTACTTCGGTGGAATTAGGTCGTTATTTTACACTTTTAAATACATACAACATACGTACATCATGGACTAAGTAAACACTTCTTGTGTAAATTGTTATTTGGGGAGATATAAGGAAAATAAATGCATTAGGTGGCGCAGCACACTGAGGTGTGTATGTACTTGTGTATTAAGATGTTTATTTTGACAAATTACATGGTTGTACAGAGGAATATAATAGTTGGGTGTACATGCCAAAAGCCCCTCTGTATGCAAAGCATTTCGGGCAAACTTAAAGATTAACTTAAGATTAGTAAGGTAATAATATATAGTTCATGTGGTCATTAGATTCCTTAAAAACAACCTTCTGTGTTATTCTCACTGAAACCTGGCTTAAGCGGGACACAGTTGATATCTACTCATTTATTTATTTATTAATTTGAACATGATACAGAGAAGTACAAGGAATACAATTTTTAAAGTGCAACATGCCAAAGCCCCTTGTATGCAGAGCATTATGGGCAGGCTTAAAATTACTCATTACTGGGATACACAGCAATCCACAACTGCAGATCATACCAAGCTGGGGGAGGTATTGCAATATATTACTCTAATGAACTATCTTGTTATAACACCATTTGCTTTACTGATGAACATGGAGAATATATTTTTGCAAATTTTACTGCAAAAAACTTTAAGACTCCTTTCACAATCGGTGCCATTTACCGGATGCCACATACAAACATCCCAAATTTTAGTGATAAATTGAAGACACTAATAATAAACAGCCAATTGAACAAGCACAACCTACTCCTCTCCGGAGATTTCAACATCAACCTTGGTCTAACAGATGACCAACCAGTAACAGATTTCATCAACAATATGAACAGTACACTTCTTATACCATCAGTAACCAAACTAACCAGGCTGACAGAGACAATTACAACCATAATTGACCATGTATGGACCAATATACTAGCCCCACCTAAATCAGGGATAATCACAGACAGCACTACTGACCACTACCCCCACCTTCCTCTTAATAGAAACTGTATCATTCCCATTAATTGATAAACTAATTGTTAATTTTTTAAATGTGTTGAACTACCTCACTTTTGTAAATTTAGCTACCTCACTTTTATACTAGTTTGATTCATAACCTGTGTCAATATAGAGTAAGAAATAGTATTAGTCTGCCCAAAATGCCTAAGCATACCTAGGCATACTAGTGGCCTTCTTTGTAATAAATACTTTATTTTATAATTATCTTATATGTAAACCACAGGTCACTGTGGCCTGGTCAACCTGCAGTTAATTTTTGCTGTCCATCCATGACTGCCAGTTGTGGGAAATGGTACTCACACATACACATTGGACACCAGATGCATACAGTCATCGTGTGAAAGAACACCAGGAATTGTCAAGGCGTCATACCATGGGTGGGGTTTGAACCCGCGGTCAGTGTCCCAAAACTCCAGACCATCGCGTGAGCCACTGGGCCAGCTAGAAATAAGTCACTTTGACTTTTTTGAGTTATCCTAGTTAATTTACACATATGTTAATATGTATGATAATTTGTGTAGCTGTATTGATGCATACCTATACCTAAATAAGCTTATTTAATCACTTGACAGGTTGTTACCCTTTTATCAGAGTATGCCAACCTTATTTCAGATACTGTACTACATTTTGTTTGATGCCTACCATGCTTAATTTGCCCAACCTTCTTTTTGATAGTCCCATATTTGCTGGTGATTTAGACTTACCTCTAAACCTTTAGGTGTCATACAACTCCTGGATGTATGTGAGGCAATCAAGGTAAGGCAGCTCCAATTCCTTGGATTAAGAGCCCTTTGGCACCATCAAGGGACCCCACTTAAAGGGCAGACTCACTCCAGTTTTGTAACTGACACTAATTAGCTACAATAACTGCGACTTCCATCCTGTCACTTATCCTTCCTGAACCTCTGCCTCATCCTCCCTTGCCATCTTTTATAGTCTGTGGTGCAGTGCTAACTGACCCTTATAGGTTTAGCACGTTCCATTAAAATAATGAACCATGCAGCACTGAATAAAAGTTAAAGGTTAAGAGCCTTCCATGACTATAATAATACCCTGTACATGTAATTAAAATCTTTTTGTAGTAATGTATATTTTTTGTTTAACTAGAAAATAGCAAGCTTGGAGGTGATGAACCATCTAAAATAGTGCTGAATGAATAGAATGGCCTGGAGCTGGAGTTCAACTCCCTGAAGGTTGAGGGCAAGACAGACATGGTTGAAAAAGCTACAACATGACTCCCATATATAAGAATACAGTGGAACGTCTACTTACAGGTGCATCCACATGCGAGATTTTCCAGATACATACGAGCAATCACTTGGTCAATTTTTTGCTTCCAGACGTGAGCGAAATTTCCAGATGCAAGTGGGCTTCAAGGGAGTTTCCTTGATGCTGGTGAGAGGCTCTTGCTCTTGATCTAAGGAATTGGATCTCAGTTGTTTGTTGGACTATTTCATTGAAACTTGGGCACTGTATGATGGAAAGATGATTCTTAACGTACATCAAAAATGAAAGAAATCAGACCATAAATAACTGAGTTCACTTCTCAGCCATTAGCCTCCCCTCAGCAGTATTTTTGTATGTTTTTTATGGTTGTATTCTCGTTTTTTTTTTTTGTCTCATTTGATAGAATGGAAGATCTATTACAGAAATAGATATGATTTTGATTGGTTTCATGACAAAAAGTACATACCTTGAAATTGAGCTCAAATTAGCAGAAATGCTCGATTCTTTGGCGATGTTCAAGAGTAAACAGATGACATCACTGTCAATTCCAATATGCAGTCATGAATGGGTTGACATTATTTATACAATTATTACAATAATGCAGTAGTGTGTATAACAGTAAATCTTCTATTTTTTGCATGAATAAAAATTACAAATTATTTATATTGTAATAATAATAACAATACATATAATAATAGTATAATAAAATATAATAATAATAATAATATGTATAATAATAATAATAATACTTATAATAATGTATTATATAATAATTATAATAATAATAGACAGCTTCAAAAGGACCTCACTAGATGGCAGTGATTATCACAACAATGCGGAATTGGTTGTGGCCGCCTCCACTTGTCACATATTGACATTTTTCATTCATTCTAGAGTATATATCAGGTTTCTATATTGTTTATTATGTCATATTAGATGAACTGTGATAGATAAATAAGCCGTATAGATGATATTAGCGAAATATTGAAGTATCTTGTCGTGCCTCCTGAGAGCCAGGAATGGATTAATTGCATTTCAGTTAATTTAAATGAGGAAAATTGACTCTGCAAACGAGCAAATCCAGATGCGAGCAAGGTCACGGAACGGATTAAACTCGTAAGCAGAGGTTCCACTGTACTATGACTTACAATGAAATGAATGTCCTCATTCACCGATTGGAGGAAAAGAGATAAGATTTTGTTAAGATTTTTAACACAGAGGGTTAACCACCCAGAATAACCCAAGAAAGTTGGTGCATCATCAAGGACTGTCCTATTTTCATTGGGGGTCCTTCAGTCTTGTCCCCAGAATGTGACCCACACCAGTTGGCTAATTCCCAGGTACCTACTTACTTTCTAGGTGAACGGGACAGCAGGTGTAAGGAAACACCCAATGTTTCTACCCAGAAGAGGACTGAATCATGGGCACTTGGTGTGTGAGGCAAGAGCATTGCCTGCCAGGCCACAGGACATGATAAACATACATAGTTATTAAAAGATATTTGTGAGTGTGTGTGTGTGTGTATTCACCTGTTTGTGGTTGCAGGAGTCGAGTTGTAGCTCCTGGCCCTGCCTCTTCATTAGTCATTACTAGGTATATTCTCTTTTTGCTCTAAGAGCTTTATTGTTCCTCTTCTTGTGTGTGTGTTTTTTTGTTTGTTTGTTGATATGAGGTCTGACATCACTGCTGACCATGTAGCAGTATGTATACAACCTAAACAATAGTAAAAATTCCTTGTAATTCCATTTTTTAGTACAGTACTTAAATGCAACATTATATTTTATACTGATTTTGGGGAATAATGATAAAAATGATGTACATATTAAAATTAATACCAGTATAAAATATATGGTATACAAACTTTAAGCCTTGCTGTTGATCCATTGAATTGGAACTACCCTTCCTTTCCAGGGATCAAACTTAGTTACCTTTCATTTCCGAGGTGCCAAATAATAATAACTAATAATAAATTTTAACACACCAGCCATCTTCACTGACGTACAGTGACCCAAAAAAAAGAAGAAACAGTTTCATCGTTGCTCACTCTTTAACTGTCTTCCCAGAGGCATGCTGACACTATATATAGCTCAAATGCCCCTCCAAACTGCAGTATCCTTCCTCCATAAGTCATGTGTGTCATAAAAGATGACTAAAGTGCCAGGTGGAAGGAGCTAATAACTCCTTTTGTATCAATTACTACATTAAAAAAGAACATTCTAAATAATAATAATAATAATGCAGTAATAATAATATAGTAATAATAATAATATAGTAAAGTAAAAGGACACAAGTGCAACTAATGTGACATTTATTGTGGCAACGTTTCGCTCTCCAGGAGCTTTATCAAACCATTAGCTCCTGGAGAGCGAAACGTTGCCACAATAAATGTCACATTAGTTGCACTTGTGTCCTTTTACTTTACATATTGTCGGTAATTCTACCGACTTTATTACAATAATATAGTAATAATAATATAGTAATAATAATACAGTAATAATACTAATACAGTAATAATAATACATGTACTAATAATAATACAGTAATAATAATCATATGCCACAGATGAATAAATAATTCACCAGATGATCACTACCTTTTAACATTTTTTCTGTTGTATTTTTATAAGACCTTATGGATTCTATGTAGGGTACCAAATTTATTTTTTTCTTTAGAAAGGTCCTGTACTTGATGGGTACAGCTCAGCAGAGGTAGGTTGTACTGTAGCTTTTATTTCCAAATTAGTTATGATGGGGAACTCTTTATAAATACTTGTAATTCATGTGTGTACTGGTCCAGCCATTTCTTCCTTATATTTTGTGTATTTTTGCTTTAATAAATCTGAATTTTCCATCACTGGAGAGAGTCCTTTTAGAGCTGTGAGAATTGACACCAGAATATTGTACAGTGGACCCTTGGTTATCGACCGTTCCAGACATCGGCCAACTTGGTTATCGTCCGGTTTTTTGAACAAAATTTTATTCTGGTTATTGGCTGTTATTTTGCTTATCAGCCGTATTGGACACGTCCACCCACCTGCCCACCAGCCCCTCGCGCATTTGTGAATCATTCTGGTTGTGTGTCTGGGCAAGTGATTAAACTTCTGCTCATTCATCCAAACATTTCACAATAATCTATTGTTTTTTGTGGTTATTGCTTGAGTGCAACTGCAAAATAAGCAACCATGGGCCCAAAGAAAGTTCCTAGTAAAGTCACTTTGGTAAAGAAAGTGAGAAGCACGATGGAATCTAAGAAAGAAGTTGTTGAAAAGTATGAGAGTGGTGTTTGAGTGCTAGAACTTGCCAGGATGTATGGGAAATCCAAATCAACAATCACTTCCATCCTGGCAAACAAAGTAGAAATCAGGGAAGCTAATGTTGTGAAAGGGAGTGTAGCAGGCAGGCGGGAAGTGTAGCATGGAGGGAGGGAGTGTAGCAGGCAGGCGGGGAGTGTAGCATGGAGGGAGGGAGTGTAGCATGGAGGGAGGGAGTGTAGCAGGCAGGCAGGGAGTGTAGCATGGAGGGAGGGAGTGTAGCATGGAGGGAGGGAGTGTAGCATGGAGGGAGGGAGTGTAGCAGGGAGGCAGGGAGTGTAGCATGGAGGGAGTGTATTGGGGAAATGGAGTGTGGAAGGGAGACAGGGAGTGTAGCAGGCAGGGAGGGAAGTAACCCCAGAGAGGGCTTTGATACCTGAAGTCCTTATAGAGCTGGATTCCCCTTCCAAACAATAATCAGTCCTCCCTGTTGCAACCCCTGAATGGGTTGCAATGATTAATATGTATATATATAATTATTACCTTTTCATATAATTTTATATTGCTTATATTTGCGATAATAGCTAAATCGTAAATGTATTGCTTTATATTGTTATTTGACTTAGCTTCCTTTTGTTAGGTAGGATGTAACATATGTGCTCAGTTCAAGTCTTGATTGTCTAACTACTGTAATTATCGCTCTTTGCTCGTTTCCCTGCCGGCTTCTGTTTGTGCTACAGCTGTCCACGGAGCTATCACGTGATCGAGGGGGGGGTGTCCTCACCTCGCCTGAAGTATTCAGTCTGGTCTAGACTCACTGGGTGGTTTGACGTATTCCAGACAAAGTGCCTAAATCTCCCTTATAGGCCCTTGTTGGAAGACCGTCTCTTGTCTCATTATTGTTAGTTCTGTGAGACT